AACTTCGTACGTAAGCAGCTCGAAAGACATAAGACAGAACAGGATACTACAAATATGCTCTCATCAGATGGAAGATTCCCACGCGATGCTAATACTTGAGAGTCGAACTCATCAGTTACTTTTCAATCTTCTTCATATCAATGCATCTCTCTACTACAACAAAAATATAGAAAACTTTATTGTAACTATGAAATTGTCTTTTTACTTCATTTTCAACAAATAATTACAAGAAACTTGCAAAAAAATAAACTAATCAGTGGCTCCTACAGAATGACCTGCCCAATGCTTCGCATATATCCGGATACTATTAAAATGTCAAGAAACAAATTTTTCTTTTAAAGATACATCTTTTAATTCTCTACAGTCTTACATATTTCAGCTGATTCGATTAGAATTTGTTACTTTAGAATCATTGATAAAAGAGATATGTCTAAAATCGACAACTTTCAAAAACACTTTTTTTCGTAAATTTTTAATTCAACATGCTTGAACCGACAAGCAATAAAAACATGTCACTAATGAAGTGTTTTCAAAAGTTTCAAAGTCGATTTATCTGTCTCTGAATAAACATTATTGTTAATACACGAAAATGTATGTTAATGTTGTTACTGTGCATATGCGAAATTGCCATTATATTTGTCAAAATTTAAAAAATTTCGACAGATGATCAGTAAATGACCAGTGTCTATTCAACAAGTGAAATATGTGCTTGCTTAAATGCATGAATAGTTTCAGTTACCGGGATGAAACCGTATCTACTATTGCACACAGAAAAGCAATAACATTAGCATATATTTTCGTGTGTTAACAATAATGTTTATTCAGAGACAATTTAAAAACATTTACTCAAGAGCTCAAGCACACTGAATAAAAAATTTGCCAAAAATTGTTTTTGAAAGTTGCCGACTTTAAGATAGCCATTTCATCATCGATGCTAAAGTAATAATTTCTAATCGAATCAGTTGAAATATGCAAGATTGTCGAGAATTAAAAGACACATCTTTAAAAAATAAATTTGCTTCTTGACGTTTTAATATTACTAAAATATATGCAACGTACTGGAAGGATCATTCTTTATGGGCCGCTCGTTATTTGTCTATGTCTATCAAGCACTTTTGAAACTTAATCAAAAGGAAGTTTCGGAATTGACGGAAGTAGCACTCCTGAAACCTCTGTTATTTCGACAAACTCGATGATGGCTAGAATTTCTGAAAAAACGTTTCTTTATCTTTACATGATTTTGAAGATGACCGAAATTTCGGTAATTTTCTTTTTGGCAAATCCGAACAAGCCTCTTTCTCAAGACAAATAAAAAGCTAAAATTAGAATGAATAATAATTCTCGTACGATGATGTATAGGGGGCACATCATTTACGACCAATCGACTCTGTATTCAAGTGAAAAAAAAAGAGTGAAATAAATACCATTATAAGAGAGAGAGAGAGAGATGCGACATCAGTGAAAGAATAAGCATAGTATGCATTTGAAATGAGTCATAATAGTTTCTTTTTGTCAATAAATGAATATGATATAATTGCAATACGCCTTTCCATGTGGAGAACACATATATTCTGTTTTTCTCTTCTCTTACCTACACTTTCTTGCTTTAAACTATATTGATCCTTATCACCTGTTTTTTTTCTCACGTTACAAATATTTATGTTGTTTTGCGAATGGCTTTCTTTTCATAGTTTTGGCTGCAAAAATAAGTTTGAATTAAAATGTTACTTCTAATACTTGTTGCCATTATATCGTTAAACATAGATGTAATTGCTATTACACGAGATGGTCGATGTCCTCATCCACAATATGTTTCCAGTGGTTTACCATGTTCAACTGAAGGAGATGATAATATTTGTCCATGGAATTATAAATGTTGTCCATTGACAGATGGTATGAAATGTTTTGGTCCATGTTCTGAATTTAGTGAGCCATGTAAACTTGAATGTCCATTTGGTTTAAAAGTTGATCCATCACCATGTACTGTTTGTGAATGTGCACCTGATCCATGTCTTTCAGCTTCATGTCCTCTTGGAACGAAATGTATTTCACAAGAATATGAACCATGTGCTATTAAAGGAAGATGTGGTTTAAAGACTCAATGTGTCAATGATCCATCTATTCATGTTGATCCTACTCCGAAACCCAACAATTGTCCTGAGTTTTGGCCAATAATGGGTGGTGGTTTACAGACATGTCATGGTCCAGATGCATTGTGTCCTGGTAAACAAAAATGCTGTCAAGCTCCTTCAATGAATAATTTCGATTCACAAGATACAGCTGTAAGTTATTGTGTTGAACCATGTGAAGATATATCGAATTGTACTCTTCAATGTCGACATGGATTGGTGATTGACGGTGGTTGTCGCATTTGTCGATGTGCTCCTGATCCTTGTGATAGAATGAAATGTGCCGCAGATGAAGTATGCCGATTACTTCCACCACCATGTGCCTATTATCCAGGACGACCGCCATGTGCTATGGTGCCTGTATGCATGAAAAAAAATTGATCAGATTGTTTACATTGCAAGCTGATCTATTTTCATTGAGTTATATTTTTCAAAATATAATAAACATCTGAAATTAATCTTGTTACAGTATATCAGATGGTAGCATCAATTGGTTCTAATTATCATGACAAGTAGCTGATATTTTTTCATCTAAAAAACTTTTCTCCTTTTCATTTCTTGTTTTAACAGAAGAAGTTTATCCGTGAAAATTTTTCAAAATCTTCATATTTTGAGAGAAATATCAATTGACTATTTTTTCCAAATATAATTTCTAAATCAAGCAATCAATAGTACATATGTTCAAGTCACTCAAGATCACAGAAATCCTCTTGCTCTCTCTTGTAATAACTTTCAATATTGTGTATAATAAATATACAAGTTTTTTTTTTTCAATTAATATTTGATTGCATTAGAAGAATCAATAACCGGCATAATATCATTGAGAAAAGAAAATGTCTTGAGAAGATATACTACATATGCCGATAATAAAAGTTCAACAGCAAGCAGCGTAATTTTCATTTCCATACCTCTAGGCTATTCGTTTTTTTTTAAATCATACTTTTAACATTTGATTGAAATGCATAACTATTTATGTGGAAAGAACTAGAAGAAACACTTCAATTGTGTTTTACTATCATCAAAATTACACGGTGATACACGAATAACACTACAAAAAACAATTGAAATATCTGTACTTGGATTCATTCAAATGGGTTGGTTTCCTTGACTAATGACAGAAGTTTATTCAAAGTTTCTTTTTTCATGCTAATACTATGAACAAGTACTATTATTAAATACTATTGTTGAACTCACGAAAATGATTTTCGATGCTGTCAATTATAGCAAAATACACACATCTTGTTCTTCGAGACAATTTTTCACTTACCATCAAAGAGAATAAAATTAAGAAATCCAAACAAACTTTAGGAACTACATTACATTGATGCATATAGGGTACATTTTTAGAATTAGTTGATTTAATATTTGACGATTGTAATATTTCGAATATTCAAGCGTAGAACACTGGTTTTTTCAAGGAATTGGCTATTTAGCACTAAGAGGACTTCTATAGTGTTTTTAGTTATCGGACAGAAAATTCAACATTTAAACTAACTAATTCTAAAAAGTTACTTGATGTGCATCAATATAATATGATTCATAAAGTTTGTTTTGATTAAATCTCACTCTTGAAGTCCTTAGCAGAAAAACTAGCGATGCCATTATTCTTTTTAATGCAAAATTCTTCTAAGGATAATTTCCCAAGATGCCGAAACCATGAGTCATGGATGTCTAACCTCGCTGAACACAGTCAATTTTTAATCACTTTAATTAAAGAAAAACTTCCTAATAAATACAGGCAAATTTGTTTTCGGTTTTTTGCGGAATTAATTTTTACAGAAAGAATACGTAGAATAGCCTCAGTTTCTCCCGTACAGAACATACAATCGAACTAAAACTTCTTTTACAGGTATCTGACACTCTTTGGAGTCGCTCGTTTTGTTTTAAAAAATATTGCACCGTTGATTGTTGACAGATTCTACGAAACAGGTCCAGTACAAAAACATGTACTTTTGGGATGTATGCTCAGTATTTTGATCTTTGTATTCAAATGCGCGAGCATACAAAGAAACCAAAAAACAACAGACACTCCTAAACAGTATCTGGTATCTGTAAAAAATATTTCAGCTATATCGGGTTTATTGCGGCTGAGAAAGCAGGAGCGATTAGTTAAACAAATTTTTACATTTGCGATCCAAATATTTCCTAGAAGTATTTGAGAGTTTGGAGTCTATGACAACTTTTGCTTTATTCATCAAGATCTTTCTATCTTGGAAGTTGCAAACATTTTTGATCAGTTGTCCTTCAGAAACTCCGAACACACGGTGATACCTTTAGCTGACAACCGAAAATTATTTTCAAGATCGCTATATATATTCTTTTCCTACTTCACAAAAGGAAAATTTTCTTTACCGAGCTCAACAATAGTACTCAATAGTAATATGTATTTTCATTATTCGTATGAAAAATATTTTGAATAAACTTTCATCACATACCCAAAAATGAGCCCATTTGAATCAATCAAAGCTGAGATAGTTTAAATTTTAATCTTACAGTTATATATAGCCTACTTTGTAAATGAATTGATCGTAAAGAATGATCAAGTAGTATCATATGAAAAACATCAGTCGTTTTCTAATAGATAACAATAAAAAAGGTTTGTGTTAGCCTTAATAATAGGTTCTGATCTAACCTTTATAATAATTGATGATTGATAAAATAAATTGGATTTTCAATCAAAATCAATGATTTTCTCTTCCCTCTCTATCGGTATGTTTTTTTTCTCCGTTTACTGATAAGTAACAATCAATAGAGGGACTTAACAATTAAAGCATCTAATTCAGTTTTACATTTAGAAACAAAATGTGGTCATATATCTGTCATTGTTCTCTACTATTGCTTTTATTTAATTATCAAACGAATACTCAACAAATGCCATTCGATACTATTGTTAGTTTTGGTGATTCAAGTATCGATACAGGAAATGTTTATAATTTAACAAATCATCCATGGCCTATTGTACCTCCATATTTTCAAGGTCGATTTTCGAACGGTCCTGCTTGGATAGAAAAATTAGGTATATTGAATATAAAAAATTATGCATATGGAGGTGCAACAACTGATAATGATTTTATTCAAGGTTATACAGCATCAGATACANAAAGTCGCTAAGAAAAACTAAATGTCACCTGAGAACACTGGCGAACTCTACAGCTTTTTAGATTTAAGTCAACTTCAGTTAAAGTTGAATATAACTTAATATACATGTTGGAGAAGAAAGTAAAATTCAGAAAAATTTAAAATTTACCTAGGAAAAGTTGAAATTTTTCAAGAAATAAACTTGAAATTTTGGTTTCTCCTAGGACAAATTAAAATATCTCTTATTTCGGATAGAATCAATAGCAGAACAGATTAAAATAAAAATGTACATTTAAATAAATGCTGTTCGCATAACTTAGTGGATACTCTCATATCCCAAAGTCGTCACCATGAAATACTTTTATAAATGACTGGATGAATGATCATGTTCAAGGTTTGAATCACAAATTTCGAAATAAGTTTTCATAAGACAGTCATTGTATGATAATATCATTTTGGTTCTGCAGGATGAATAGTCAGATCCTCAGCTAAAATTCTAGCTGTATAAGAATTTAAAAATAATTGAACTTGGTGACTTAGATGGTATCAAAATTGCTAAAGTAGACAGGGCAAATGCTGCACCTAAGTTACTACCATGTAAGATAATATCAGTTCAATCAGCATCGAATGATATTCATACCTTTCAACTATATGTAACAATATATATAATTTCTTCACGGTTTCAAGCACTCGATTTATTTTATTTGATCATTTGTAACTTTCGCAATTTATGTGATATCGATTCAACAAAACTACCAACGATGACATTCATTCAAGCTTGCAGAGCGTATTTCAGAACAGGATCAACCACTTCTATTGAAAGATATAACTATAATGACACTCGTTCAGCAAAGAGATGTTGCTGCGAGGCAGTAAAAAAAATACCGTGTGGTATCAAATTTCATTCATCATAAATGAAATTCTATTCAAATGTTCACTTCAAACGTAATACTTCTTCCATAGAAAAATAATAAAGTTTATATGTGTTCAGGAAGATTTTAAATTTTCTTATAGTTGAATGTCTCTTTCAACATATATATATATATGAAAGATCAATTCTTTGTTGTCATCTTTTTTTCATTGCTTTATTTTTAAATCTTTGAAAAGTTCTGTTTACACTTTGTCCGATGCATATGCATGCTTTTGTACTGATATGCAATTGCTATGTAAAGAATACTTCTATTATGATCAAATGAAAGCCATTTGTGTGGATTTTGCATTGATTTAAAGAATGATTGAGGTTGAAAAAATGTTTCCGAATTGCGGAAATGAATGCGTACATTCACAAAAGAAACCATTTGTACACCCTAGTATGTGATTTATCATCATGACAAAACCTACTGAATGATATAAAAAATGGTGAGAATAAGTTGCAGACTATTTTCTGATTAAAATCTTTTATTTTTTCTTTAAAACGTCGGACAATATTATTAATAAGCAATAGAGAGTACACATGATTCTTATGAATTACTAAATCATTAAACATGTTGATTTACACTTCTTTGAGTCTTGATTCTTTAAGTCGATTCTACGACTTTTCCATAGATATACTTTAACTAATCTACTTTGTAATTTCGACAAATCTATCTTGGCTGTATTGCTGAATAAAGATGACAGACAATCAGCTGAACGCACGTCACCGCTGCTGTCAACCTATGCATTGGGCTAAACTTTCATTACTGAATTTGTAATAAAAGAGATGGAAGACTGTATTGAAATCGCTGACACCTTGCCTGTTCGAAAAAAATGCATTCTTTCTCAACTAATGAGTTGTCAAAAATGATGTGCTCAGTATAGCGGGTGCATCTACTTTAGAACCGCTTCAAACTTCATGAAGCTTTCACACTATGTTTTTCTTTATCTGACAAGTCTACTTCGTTAGCGTAAATGCTTCTGGACTAAGTTACAGGTTTTACAGAAAACTCTAGTTTTCAAGCTTTTTCTCTGTTTTTCTTTTCGATTAGAAATATTTTCAGACAAAAGTAATTCATATATTCGGAATCAGCATGAAAAACTGCACTGAGTGGTGTGTCTTTCAGCAATTTTTGAATAAAGATAATTTTCAACAAAATCCGGTCATATATGAAAATCTTACATGTCATCCCAGGTCGAACCTAATCCATTGGTTTCTGTTCGATCGCCTTAATACCGACAGAACCCTATCTGAAGTAACCGAGAACCTAATGACCAGAATTCCAATAGCTGGATTCAAGTGGATACCAGCAAATTGTGACAGGACTTCATCGGTTTGGATGCGTCTCTTCCTCAGTATGCTTGCCGATAGTTAATTATTTCGAATTTTTATTTCTTTTAGCCCTTTTTTTTGTGCAAAATTTTAGCTTCTTGAACCTATATGTAGAAAAAACTCGGAACATGATCTCAAAGTACGGCATTAGAATTTGCCAAAGAATCTTAGTGACATGGTCGACTACAGGAAGAAAGAATCAAAGAGTGTTCATGAGTATTAAACTTTGTGACAACGTGTTATTTTTAACCAGAGCTCTTGTTAGTACCTAGTAAAAGACAGAAAACAAAACAATTGAAGTATTCAATAAACAAAAGGTTTCTGAAGAGTAAATTTCCAGAAAGCTGTCTAGAATGTTATGAAAAACGTTTCTATTGCTAGATTGAAAACTAACATGTTCAAAACCCAATAAAAAAAGAGTCTCGAATCAGAATAAGAGATTTTTAATCCAATTTCGGTTTCTAAAAAACCGAGAGTTTGTAGAAAACCCACGTTCCAATACCTTTGGGTGTTGGAAATCACTGAGTAACAAAGAACATATGTGAAAGCATTAGTGTCATGGAATGTTTTAAGAGGAAATGTACATGTGTTTATCAAAAATTGCCCATTGTGAACCAAGGTGTTTATCAATGTTTGCTATTCTTTGCTCTTCAACAAACATTCTGAATCAGAAGAAAATATCGCAGTTAGTTTAAAGTGATTTCTAAAAGAATTTGGATAAAGCATAGCTACAAAATTGAAATTTCGAATGAGGAGTTAGACAAAATATTTGTAGCAACATGATTGAGAAAAGATGATCACAACTCCCTCCAATACATGTGAATCTCTGAAGTGCGTTTTGATGCTTGTAGCTAGGGTTTATTGTCGCACACATGTCTCCAAAATATCAGCTCAATATCATAAAGAATAGTAGTACTTCATGTATGCAACTACTTTTGTTCAGGGCTGTACTTTTACTTTGGGTCTGATAAAAATAATGTGTTAAAGTTTAAAGTGACACTCTAATCTTAATCCTCTACCTTGAAAACCTTAAATGAAGCATTACAAAATATCATTATTTTTGAAAAATAGCTTTTTATATAATTGCAAATTTCCTGTAACTCGGTAATTAGGAATGTTTTCGTTAGTAGTTCCTCGGTAAAGCAGCAAAAAATTTTATCGTCTTTCTATTTCATATATAGTTTAATTATTTGAAATGCAATATCTGTAATCTATTTTTTCAACTTTCAAATGTGTAATTTTTATATAAATAAAACAGACGATGATAAAATCCTGCTCATTTCAAAAGAGTGAAATAATTATAACCAGTTCAGTTAATTGAGATGTAGCTGTCTCACACTGAATTTAAAAAACGTGCTCTACCCGGCGCTTCAACTTCACATACTGTTCAAAAAATAGCAATTGACTACAATAAAGCTTCTGCGAGAATGCTAGGATGCGTGATCAGAAAAGAATAAGCAGAGAAAAAACGAAAACAATTTTTCATTTTTCATTTTTTTCTAAAAGAAAGAATAGTTTCAAGCAGAAAGTGACAGAAATCATACAAAACTTTGGTAAAAAGTGAGGGAGCAAATAAAAAATCATGTCGTTTATGGAAGATCTAACCTGAGGCTATGTTCTCATGTATGTGTCTTATTTTCGATTTTTCTGACGAACATTGCTTCTTTTTTAAGAGAAAGAGCTTCATTTCAGATTCATTTTTTTAAAAACTTTGAGTCTTATGAGAGAAGAATTTTCGTCAGCTTACCGAAATATTTCCGCTATGATTCAACTTTAGATCGATTGTTGTTTCCTTAGAGAAGGTAATAAATAACTGAAATCTTAATCCTTCATCTGGTCATGTACATAGAAGATGTCAAATATTGATAAAAACAAAACCTCATATTTAGGTCTGATTACGTTCAGATTTCAAACTGTCAAGTCTGAGTCAATAAAAACATGAATCCAACGCTTCCTAATGAAAATGAGTAAAATATAGAAAGGTAAATCACTTTCTGCAGTTTTTCTGAAAATCATGAAGATTTAATGGGTAATTTCCATTTTCGCCGAATTTTTTTTCGCCGACGACGATTTTCGCCGAATTCCAACTTCACCGAAAGAATTTTTCGCTGACGGAGACATTGGAATGAGTGCACATGTGGGTGTTGGTGTACGTGGGGTGTTAGTGCGTGTGTAGGTGTGGGTGTGGTTCAGGGTCATTAAATGAGCGAAAAATTCTTTCGGAGAAGTTGGAATTCGGCGAAAATCGTTGTCGGCGAAAATGGACTAATTCGATTTAATGTTCATTACAATGAAGTATTCACCATCATAATCATTCGCTTTCAGTCAGGTCATTTATTCTTGCATGTACAAAAATCAATATTTCGAAAATGTATTTATCTATGAATATTATATGACATAAATATGTATCTAGTTATATTCTTTCATTCTTCAATTAAAAAAAAATTAAAAACTCTTTTTTTTGTACAAATAATCTTTTAATAAAATCTATGAATAGTATGCAAAATGGATTCTCTTATTCTGTATGCATTAATCTGTTTTTTTTTTCTTTTATAAAATAAAACAAAAATTCAAATTACAAGAAGTTATATTCTATTTATTTGTCCATGTAAAAAAGAACGACACACAAATCAGTTAGATACACCAAAAACCGATATACTAGCAAACATTGTCGGATTTTCCCAACTAAATAAAAATAAATAAGTATTAACTCTTTATTTTTCATTTTTTTTATAAACTTCTTACCGAAAAGTACATGAGTTGTCAGTTGTACTATCCCATAAACATGAACTTGCTGTATGTAAACCGGCACCATTTTTTTCCATAATTACACAAAATACAATATATTTAAATGGTTTATTCAATCTTGCTAATGAACTCAGTATAGCTTCTACTATATGTGCTGACCATGTATTAACTTTTGTCTTTTGATATGATTGAGAGCCAAGAGTTGCTTTAATTGAATTTTCTATTATATTTGATACTTCATAATCAAGAAAACGTGTGTCATATGTACGGTTCATTGTTTAATGAGAGAAAAATCTGAAAAAATTTAATACGAACATTTCTTTCTCATCAGCTCTTACGAAAAAAAACAAGTCAAATAACGTGTATACATACGTATAAATAGGGTTTTTTTTTTCATCATCATCACGCGCTTACCACAATTAAGTATGTATCGAGAAGGAAAAAAAACGTATGTATGCGAGTGTATGCGTATGTGTGCCTAGAAAAAAATTAAAAATGTGTGCATTTGCAAGACGCCAATAGTGGCTGCGACCATTGTTTGACAAAGAACAGACAGAAAAAGAGGGGAGAAAAACACAAAGATGGTGGTCGTAGAAAATTTTGACGGTGTTCACTCATTCTTTTTCAAAATATTCTCTACCCAATAAAATGGTTGGTTGAGAATAAAGAAAAATTGGTTTGGCGAACAACATCAATGGAGTTTGTCATTCTTTGATTCAAAAATGACTCAAAAAAATAGGGAAGAGAGAGTTAAGAATTAAATTATTCTGACGATGCAACGAATTAGTAGGAGTAAAACCAAAAATAACAAAAAATATTATTCGTTTGATTCTTTAATTCTCTTTTTTCTATGTTCTGTTGTTAACAGAATGTAGATGAAAATAATAAATATCAAACTTGACCTTCAGCAACAAGAAACCTTTCAGTATTTCGCTTTTTTTCGAACGTTAAAATAAAATTCAAATTTAATCTGATATACCATAAAATTTAATAATCGACAAATTACGAAGCAGATTATAATAAGTCACCACCTGAATAACAGGAAGAGACAAAGAAAGTGAAAATTATAAATCTTAATAAACGAATTATTTTTAATAGTCTTAAAATGATCTTTTTTTTTTTTTTTATTTCATATCAATATTACTTTTATAACTTCGAACAACTCTATAGTATTACGTTATTGAATAAACGAAACTTTTAATAAAAACCATTCTTCAAACAGTAAAGCTATTCAGAAATTAGGACAATGTTGTTTTTTTTTTATTTATTTTAGAATAATAACATTGGACGTTGATTTACCTATAGAATGTAAAACGAAAATGAACTTTTGACATTGATTATCAAATAATGTCTGTTCCAGAATAAATTTCACTAAATCTTGATGTCTTTTCCTCTCATTTCCTATACATAAAAAGTGTTCTGTATATATTAAAAGATAAACAATTTCAAACTGTACAAAACAGCTGTCGACTTTATTCTTCAGACAAGTTAAACTATGGCAACGTCAACTTGAAAAGATTCGCATCTACTTAGTCACACAACTACGATTTCCTATTTTCTGCAGACTCTTGCGCGTCGAAACCGATGCAAAAAGCAAATTAGTTAATAGCAATAGATAAAAAGTTTTGTGCTTTATGTTGTTACAACTTTTTCAAGGTTCTCGAGACTGATGTTTATTTAGCAAAAAAATTGAAGCTCACAACAGTTGGCATTGTTCAGCGCACTTTGGCAATTCATAGTTTCAAAAGCCAGACTTGCTCTATGAACGATTTTGTTATTATGCCATTGAATGTAGAACATAGTTTGGAACAAAATCTTGTAACAATTAAATTGAACCGTGAAAATATTTTGGTTGTTTTAAATTAGTAAATAAGAATGACATAGGTCTATCAGAAGAAAGATTTATTTCTGATACTTTCACTGTTTCTTACTTCAAAAATTTCTTCTAGACATTTGAAGTATTCATTCAAAGATACAGATTTGTAACAGAAATTTCGTGAGATAATTGAAAATTCACTGGAATTTTTATCAAAAGAAATGCCAGTGTGGGGAACCTTTGAGAGCCAAAGTACGGAACTCACAAACTCTGACTGTTATAAATTTATGATATATGGTCAGAACAGTTAAAAGAATTTATTGAAAGAGATCCCAAATGAGTGAATAAATCAAAATGTTACCAGTTTTTGTATTTGGTAGGCGTGCTCTGAAAATGTATCGTTTCAAAAATGTTTGCATTTAATTAGAATTCCTATTCTACTAATTTATAGATTCAATTAACATCGTTATACTAAGAAAACTTATTTGTATTGTCAGAGACGCTTTCAATATAGAACTTGTTTTCTCCAGATGATAATATATGCGACACATGTCATTGGAAGCGGTGAATTTCATTTTACTCTTCGTTTCATTAGTTCCACCATCATATTAACCTGCTATATACATTAATTTAATCGTTCAATAAGTTTTTCAGCGCATCACCCTTTATCGCGACAAACTTTGACATATACTGTTGAGTTTTGCATAAGTTTATAGTAAAATTAGTTTATACTTTTTTATGTCCATTCTCTTCTGACTCTGATAGACTAATAATACCAACGTCCTACTGATTGATACCTACAATAAGATCCTTTTGCAACATTAAAAATCATAGATTCGTAGTATGCTTTGGCAGATTCTAGAAAGTTCCAGAATAATCTGTGTACCGTGATTACTGGCGCGCATTTTTCCATTGTTGAGAATCATTTTTTTTTTGTTATATCAGATATCACTTTCGTGAAATATCGAGATTCGTGCTTCGCATTGCATTTTGTATTCGAGATAATCTCGAATAATATCTAGTTTTCTCATGTATTTTCAAAATGAAGTTTATATCACCAGAATCAATTGCTTTTGATCGAATTCAAATTATGTCATGGGAATCATTTATACTTAAATATATTCACAACAAGCCCAGTCAACAAGGTCTAGATTCTTCTTCAACAAGTATAACTTCTCAATGTATGTCTATACCATTCTTTTATGATTCATTTCAAGCGACAGCATCTAATCTTGCTTTCTATATCAATCCCCAACGGCATCCTGGTATTGTTTTAAAATCATTGTCTATCATGTATAGATGATAAGCAAAAGACAATTTCTTAAATATTATTATCTAAACGAACTATATTGAAAATAGAAATATTCAGATAAATTATACTAATTTGTATTAATTAAAATTTATTCTAATGAAAGGAAATTGCAAAATAGGTTGTGTGTTCATTAGACATCATTAATATCACATTGTATTTAAATCATAAATGATAGAAATTTCATCTTTAATATAAATAGGAGATTAACGAGGGTTTTTTTCTTATCTCGTCTTGTATTGTTGTTGTTGCTGCCATTTTCATCATAATCAAGACACATACGATACTTATTTTAATCGCATATTCTCGTGAGATATTAAAATCGATCTAAAAGAAAGAAAAGCGATAGCGATTAACAGACACGCTAAATAGGTTCATTTTGAAACAAGCGTGCAGTGTATTAGACGATCTTATTAGGAATTAATTGAAGCATTCTTAAATACAATGACAGCATTAAGTAATGGAAACGAACAAGCACGGATTGAACTCAAAATTCAAGAAAGTATGTACCAATTAAGAAACTCTTTTTGTTTTGAAAATCTAATTCAATAAAAAACCTTAATATATCTGTATATATATATATATAGAAGAGAATGAAAATATGCTAGAAGATATAGAAACAGGAAAGTCGACAATTATTACAGATGCTAAAAATAATAATACTCGAAGAACAAGTGCTACAGAACAATTAATTTTTGCCAAAAAGTCGGCAGTACCACCAATACTTCCGTCATCACCTACAATTCCACGAGATCTATGGACAAATAAAGTTGAATTTCTTTTATCAGTTATTGGTTATGTGGTTGATCTTGGTAAGAGAAAGTAGAATATGAAAAAAGAAAAACTTTGAACATAATCATTGATTATTCAATTGATAGGTAATGTTTGGCGATTTCCATACACATGTTATGAAAATGGTGGTGGTGCATTTCTAATTCCATATATGATATTTTTATGTATTCTCGGAATTCCAATGCTGTAAGTTTAAATATTTTCCGACGTATTCAATAAAAAATGAGAAAAATCTTAAGATTAGTACTGTTAACAATTGAAAATAATTTTCTTAACTTCAATTTCTCTTTCGCTTCAATTTTCTGAATATATAGAAATATACTTTTTTTATATCTTTCAATAGTTATCTCGAATTATTTCTTGGCCAATTTTATCATTGTGGTAATATAACATTATGGGGTCGAATAGCTCCATCAATGAAAGGTATTGGTATAGCATCATTCTTAATTGTTACTGCTGTTACATTATTCTATACAACTATCATCGGTATGAATTTATACATATTATTTACTATTGAAATAAATAATCTTCTGTTTTGTTTTAGCACATGCTGTCTTTTATTTATTTGCATCATTTCATGAAATAATGCCATGGAGTTTATGTACACATTCATGGAATACACCATTTTGTTCAGAACGTCTGCGTAAAGAATTTCTAAATAATCAAACTATTCAAAATATTCGTTCTAATCAAACATTATCATATATCAATGAATCAAAAATTTCATCAGCTGAAGAATATTATAATATATATATGTTAGGTATAAATCGTTCAAAAGGTTTAAGTGATTTAGGTTATATTAAAATTGATTTACTTTTGTGTCTTATATCAATATTTATTCTTATGTATATATGTATTTATCGTGGAGTGAAAAGTACAGGTAATAAAGATTACAAAAAAAAAAGAAAAAGAAAAAGCAGAATAATTTATTGAAATATTTTTTTTTAATAATTCTTAGGCAAAGCTGTTTATATAACTGCCATATTACCTTATATTGTTTTAATAATATTACTAATTCAAGGTCTTACTTTAGAAGGCTCACAAAATGGTATAAGTTATTTTCTAAAACCAAAATTTGGAAGATTAAAAGATCCAAGAGTTTGGTATTCAGCAGCTAATCAAATATTTTTTACACTTGGTTCTGGTTTATCTGTTTTAACAACATATGGTTCCTATAATATATCAACAAATAATTGTTATTATGATGCATTAATTGCTGTTATAGCAAATTTTGCAGCAAGTTTTCTAGCTGGTTTTGTTGTGTTTTCTGCCTTAGGTCATATGTCATGGCGACTAAATAAAGATGTTGAAACCGTTGTTGATTTAGGATCAAGTTTATCATTTATAGCTTATCCAGA